AATCCTCCCACCCAGGCTTCCCAAAGTCTGAGATTGCAGGCATGAGCCACCACACCCAGTAGAACTAAGGAACTTTTTTTTTTTTTTTTTTTTGAGACAGTGTCTTGCTCTGTCACCCAGGCTCGGTTTAATGGCACAATCACAGCTTACTGCAACCTTCTGTCCTTACCCCAGGCTCAAGTAATCCTCCCATCTCAGCCTCCTGAGTAGCTGGGACCACAGGTGCATATCACCACACCTGGCTAATTTTTTGCATTTTTGTTAGAGATGGGGTCTTGCTATGTTGCTCAGGCTGGCCTCAAACTCCTGAGCTCAAGTAATCTGCCTGCCTTGGCCTCCCAAAGTGCTAGGATTACAGACGTGAGCCACCATACCTGGCCTTGAACTAAGGAACTTTTAAAAAGGAAATATAATTGTATTATTTCAAAGTTTTGTTTATAGCATTTCACCTGTTTTGAACAAATAATGCCCCCAAAATAATAAAAAGAAGCCTAGAATTCATTAAAATAATGAATTTAAAAAAATAATAGTGAGCACATCTATTGGCTGGTGACCTAAGGAAAGAAACTGAGGCAAAATTAATGTGGAGAATTTATTTGGGCCAAGGTTGAGGACTACAGCTTGAGACACACTTCCAAGTTGCCTTTGTTCAAGCAGGTTTTTGAGTTTTTCTTTTTTTTAACTTTTATTTTAGGTTTTGGGGTACATGTGAAAGTTTGTTACATAGGTAAACTCGTATCATGGAGGTTTGTTGCACACATTATTTCATCACCCAGGTATTAAGCCCAGTACCCAACAATTATCTTTTCTGGCCCTCTCCCTCCTACCCTCCACCTTCAGGTAGACCCCAGTGTCTGTTGTTCCCTTCTTTGTGGCCACATAGTATTCCATGATGTGTTATGTACCCCATTTCTATACAATCTGTCGTCATTTAGATAGATGGGCATTTAGGTTGATTCGGCGTCTTTGCTGTTATGAATAGTGCTGCAATGAGCATTCACATACATATGTCTTTATGGTAGAGATTTCTGTTCTGCTGGGTATATACCCAGTAATGGGGTTCCTGGGTTGAATGGCAGTTCTGCTTTTAGCTCTTTGAGGAATTGCCACACTGCTTTCCACAATGGTTGAACCAATTTATACTCCAACCAACAGTGTGTAAGTGCTCCCTTTTATCCGCATCCTCACCAGCATCTGTTGTTTTTTGACTTTTTAATAGTAGCCATTCTGACTGGTGTGAGATGGTATCTCATTGTGGTTTTGATTTGTCCTTTTCTGATGATCAGTGATATTGAGCATTTTTTCATATGCTTGTTGGTCATGTATGTCTTCTTTTGAAAAGTATCTGTTCATGTCCTTTGCCCACTTTTTAACGGGATTGTTTATTTTTCTCATAAATTGGTTTAATTTCCTTATAGTTGCTAGATAATTATACCTTTGTCAGATGCATAGTTTGCAAATATTTCCTCCCACTTGTAGGTTGTCTGTTTACTCTGTTGATAAATTCTGTTGCTATGCAGAAGCTTCCTAGTTTAATTAGATCCCATTCGTCAATTTTTGCTTTTGTTGCGATTGCTTTTGGTGTCTTTGTCATGAAATCTTTGCCCTATGTCTAGGATGGTATTGCCTACATTGTCTTCCAGGGTTTTTATAGTCTTGGGTTTTACATTTAGGTCTTTAATCTATTTTGGGTTGATTTTTGTATATGGTGTAAGGAAGGGGTCCAGCTTCAACCTTCTGCATGTGGCTAGCCATTTGTCCCCAGAACCATTTATTGAATAGGAAGTCTTTTCCCCATTTACAAGCAGGTTTTTAAAGGGAAAAGGAGTGGGCTGATACAAAGCTGTTTGACAGGAATTCGCATTGGTTTATAGAAACAACGTTGATTAGTGATTAGGGTATATGTCATTTCATGGCTACCTGACATCAGTCTAGAGCTCACATAGCTAGTGGCTTCAAGAGGTAATTATTTGCTGGGCACAGTGGCTCATGCTTGTAATCTCCACTTTGGAAGGCCAAGGCAGGTGGATTGCTTGAATCAGGAGTTTGAGACTCACCTGGGCAATATGGTGAAACCCCATCTCTACCAAAAATACAAAATAATTAGTCGGGTGTGGTGGCACACACCTGTGGTATCAGCTAGGAGGCTGAGGTGGAAGGATCGCCGGAACCTCAGAAGTTGCGGTGAGTCATGATCGCACCACTGCACTCTAGCCTGGGTGACAGAGGGAAGACCATGCTAAAAAAAAAAAAAAAAAAAAAAAAAAAAAAAAAAAAAATTATTTATCTCAAAGGGGAGTGTAAGATATAACCGCTGTCACAGGCTACCACATTTCAGTGTCTCTCTAGGCCTAATAATTAAAGAGGCTCACATTCCTGAGATAAAAAGTTTTTTTTTTCTTTCTCATGGCAAATGAGTCTTTCTAGGGACACAATTGCTTTCAAGCCCCCAGTAGTCTTGGACACTTGTTTCACATTATTACTTTGTATCATCCTAAGGGGGAGCAGGCTTGTGCTTCCTATCAAGTAAGCTTGAAATAGTCTCGGCCCAAAAGTTATCCCAATAATGTTAGAAATATGCAAATTAATGAACTGTCTGGTCGACAGTTAAGCTCAAATGACTTTTTTTAATGTTTGTTTTTATTTTTGAGGCGGAGTTTCACTCTTGTTGCCCAGGCTGTAGTGCAATGGTGCGATCTTGCCACAGCCTTTTATCTCCTGTGTTCAAGTGATTCTCCTGCCTCAGCCTCCTGAGTAGCTAGGGTTACAGGCATGTGCCACCATGCCTGGCTAATATTTGTATTTTTAGTAGAGATGGTTGGTCAGGCTGGTCTCGAACTCCCAACCTCAGGTGATTTGCCCCTCCTCGGCCTCCCGAAGTGCTGGGATTACAGGCGTGAGACACCGCGCCCGGCAATTTTTTTTTTTGAGACAGCTTCACTCTTCTTGCCCAGGCTAGAGTGCAATGGCACAATCTCAGCTCACTGCATCCTATGCTTCTTGGGTTCAAGCAGTTCTGCTGCCTTAGCCTCCCAAAGTGCTGGGATTATAGGCAGGAGCCACCACGCCTGGCCTCAAATGACTTTTCTGTTTCCTTTTTTTTCTTTTTTTTTGGCTCAATGGATGTCATCTTGGAGCTGGGCTTCCTGCTGTCCTTGACCTTGCTCTGAAATAGCCCTTTCTTCTGTCCTTTGTTCCTCCATGGTGGCAGTACCTGGCCCTCCCTGGTAGTACCTCATGGTGCTTCTAGAACTTCCACCCAGCCCTTGGTGGTTTGGTCTTTTGGAGAAATGAGTAGCGGCTGTTCTCCATATCTTAGCCCACTTGGTCAAGTTTTTGAAACTACTTCATTTTTTTTCTCTCAGGAAACCAAATTCTAAGCCCCATTACCTCAGGAGAGCAGCCTCTTTCTCACCCATGTTAGTTCCATCCCGTTTATATGTTAAGCAAGCTAAGAGGCTTTGGAGAATGACTCTATAGCCCTGTATGGAATGACTGCCACCCCTGGGGTCCTGACCTTGCCTTCTAAGCCCCATGTGACACACACCCAGCAAAACCCTTGGCAGTGCCCAAGGAAGCTATTTCAGAGGAGTGGAGCAGGAGCCATGGGCTCTATATTACACCATGGGGACACCCTAAGGTCTGACCTGTGGGCTGTTTCAGTGTTTGTAAGCGGTGCATTCGGAAGATGGACCACCACTGTCCCTGGGTCAACAACTGTGTCGGCGAGAACAACCAGAAGTACTTCGTCCTGTTTACAGTAAGTCAGCTTCCAAATTCTGCCCTGCCCTCCATGAAGTAACGGAGCACTTTGTTCCTTTGAAAATTCTCAGCATTCACAATGTTCTTTGCTGCTGTTCAGAATACTGCCTGGCCCTGTAGATCTCCGCCTTCTTGCCAAAGATCTATTTCAATAAGTGCCTGTTTCTAAGCCCTTCACTTGAGCATTTAGAAAATGGATTCAAGTTGATTAGCTATGGGCTCCCATCCCAGGTGTTGGACCTAAGTAGCTCAAGAAGGCAGTTGGGATGATGACCTCAAATTCTGAGCTGCAGGTAGGTGGAGTCTACTTAGTGCAAGGACTAGAAGGGTCTGCAGCAATCAGCATTCTGACTTTTCAAGGGAGGAGGTACAGCAGGCTTGGACCCCCACTCCCAGGCAGACCAGACTGCCTGGAGCCCAGGTCATGCCTGGCAACGGACTTGTTTCTGTTTTGGTTCCACATACTCCCAGAGATGGCTGCTTACCTCAACCCAGGGCTGGGGGGCAGGAGAATCTGTAGGGAGTCACTAGCTAGCCCTCAGGTCCCTCCTGGTCAGGCCTTGGCCTAGCTGAGTGTTCCTGAGTGGCAAGTTTTGAGAGCCCCTGTCCTGGGAACCTGTGAGGTCAGAGGATTCTCACAACAATGGTGTCTGCACTGGTTTCCTGTTTCAGATGTACATAGCTCTCATTTCCTTGCACGCCCTCATCATGGTGGGATTCCACTTCCTGCATTGCTTTGAAGAAGATTGGACAAGTGAGTATGTGCCAAAGCTTTCCTCCCTGCTCTAGGGTGGGCGTGTGACCTGAGTCGGGGCGGGAAGTTTCTTTGTTTCCTTCATGGGTGCCAGGGGCCAACCTCATTTTATTAGATCTCCTGAAAGCCTATGGACTGAACAGGGAAGAAATGGCAGAGGCTGGAATCTCTCTTCATGAAAAAATGCAGCCCCTTAAAGTCAGTTCGACAGGTAAAGTCAGGAGTTGGACAGACAGACCCTCTGGACTGAGAGTGCCCAAGGAGAATGCAGGCCCCAAGCAAGCACAGAGGCTGGCTCCAACGCATGGGAGCCGCGCTGGGAGAGAAGTTTTGTTTTCTGTCTTTCCATGAGGCACTTAAATCAAAGGTCATTTTATTCCAGTCTTGCAGAGACTCAGTTTTTATTTTCTGGCTAGGACATGGAATTTCTTTATTAATTTGTCTGGTTTTTGTGTTGGCTGTTTTTTAACTGCTTATACTGAATCATGAATTTACATTAAGATTGTAGATAATTCCTCCTGCTTTAGAGGCATCCCACTGAAATGTGCAAATGCTGAGGAAGAAACTCCAGCCAGAAGATTGCACAGATCCTGAAGGAAAACAATAGATGCTGGAGGAAAAGAAATAAGAGACCACCTGCTGGGCTGTCTCTTTCACACTCACAATCTATGAGACAGCCCAGCAGGGGCTGGGCTTTTTTATTTATTTATTTATTTTAGATTAAGTCTCACTCTGTTGCCAGGCTGGAGTGCAGTGTCGCAATCTCCACTCACTGTAATCTCTGCCTCCCATGTTCAAGCAATTCTCCTGCCTCAGCCTCCCAAGTAGCTGGGATTATAGGCACGCACCACCATGCCCAGCTAATTTTTTGTATTTTTAGTAGAGACAAGGTTTCAACATATTGGCCAGGATGATCTCAATCTCTTGACCTCGTGATCCACCCGCCTCGGCCTCCCAGAGTCCTGGGGTTACAGGTGTGGGCCCCTGCGCCTGGCCCAAGACAACCATCTTGAGCAAGGAACATTGTATTTTATCTGCTTTTCCCTCCATGGCCCCCTTTTATTATTTCACTGTCTTTAGAACTTTTGCTATTCCTATACATGCCAACTTCAGCCTTTTCTTACCACAATTCTGACATAAGTCAGGTGGCAGAGGTCAAGCTGGCAAACAATAGGGAGAGGAGAGAAAGGTAGAGGTGAGTGGGTATGTGCAGAACTTTCCATTCTGCATAGCTGGGTGAGTCGCCAGCAAGTTCCTCACCACTTGGTGAGCATTCTGAAGTGCATGCCTTCTGCTAGGCTTGGGGAACCCAGATCTACTCCAGATTTGGCCTTGGTGACTTGACAGGAGAGTCCATTGGGATATTTTGTCATCCCAAACACCTCCCGCATCTCATCAGGTTAACAGACTCGAGCAGTGATGGTAGCACAGACTATCAGTGAGGCAAAATGTCTCTGTCGTTGGAATGGTGCTGGCAGGGACCATTTCATTAATGCCTACTGGGAGCCAGGAATGGCCCTAAGGGCTTTTTGAGCAGTGCATTGTTTCAACCTTATAATAAGCTGGCAAGATAGAAGAGATGCCTCCCACTTTGCAGATGACAAAAGCTGCAGCTCACAGAGGATGAACAAGTTCCCAAGATCACTCAGCTAAGAAGCCGGCCTCTAGTTCAAGCCTAGGTCTGGAGCAAGGTTTTTAGCCCTGTCCGGTTGACTCCAATGTCCAGGGTCCTCCCAGCCATGCTGTTGATTAACTGTGGTTAAGATTCCTGATGGAGTGGGCTTCAGGCACCCAGCTCCTATGGCAGCTAGGCTGGGAAGGCACAGGTCAGTCCCCAAAGTTGAGGCCTGAGAGTTGACTGTATATGACCATTAGTTACTGCCCTCACTGCTCAGTCCTGGTGGAATTGTTGGGCCATCGGAGCTGGTGTGAGCAGGGGCAGAGGGTTGTCCCCAGGATTAGGGCACTTAGAGTTGATGTTTAAAGAAGGGTAGGGAGGTGGTTCCACACACTGATCTGGTTCCTGCCTCCGCAAACTCCGTTGGTAATTCCTGGGGCCCAGCCCACAGAGGAAGGATGCTTGCCGCTTTGCAAGGAGGGAGAACAGGCCCTGGACTCTGCCACCAGCTCCAGGGCAGCCGTGGTAGGTAAGAAAGAGGTGCTTTATCTAACAGGCACCCTCATGTGCTCCTGCCAGGCCAAGGCCAAACTCTGCAGATGTTCTTTCATGAATTCTTAAGCACTCCCCTGTATAGAACGGAAAACAACATTTCAGAAAGCCCAAACCTCTTGCCCAGATCCTTTTGTTGTCAGGCACTGTCCCAAGGCTGGCTGTACAGCAGTGAGCAAGACCAAGTCTCTCTCCTCCTGGAGTCTGAAGTGTAGTGGGAGAGGCAGTTATCCAACAAGTACAGAAACAAACAGGTAATTCCACAATGCAGAGGACAGGAAATACATGGGCCAGAACAGGATATTAGCGGGGGCCTTGTAGTTAGAGTTCATGATCAGGAATTGGTGCCAGGATTTGTTCCTCACTGTGCCTGCCAGATGTCAGAGCTCTTGTTCTTCCCAACACCCTGCCCAGCCCAAGGCCACCCATACTTGTAGCCACCCACGGCCAGCACATCAGGCTGGTGAGCCACCCCAACCAAGCCCTGCTCCACAAGGAGCCAAGAAGAGAAATCATTGTGAGGCATCAGTACATTCCCAGTGAAACCGGAGGAGATGTGCCCTGGAGATGAGGTGTTCCTTACCTATCACCCACATGGTGCTTGGTGTCTTTCCAAGCCCATTCCCACATTTGACCTCCCTTTCCCGTCCCGACGTTCCCCTGGGGGAGCCAGCAGGATGGCTTGAATAGGGTGCTTACCCCCGTAATTCCCAGAACCATTGAAGCCCAACTCTGCCTTCCAGGATCTGATCTTTCCAGCCAGGGAAGCAGGCACAAGTACGGGAGTAACAAGAAACAAACCACAGCCCAGGCTCAGCCAGCATTGGCAGCTGCTCTGAGGTGCAGAAGTCCTTCGGTGAAGAGTGCCAGCCGAGGGGCCTAGCCTGTCTGCCAGCGCCATCTGCTGGGCCAGGCATTTCCCAGGTCACATCGCTTCAGAGTTCTCCCCTCCCTGTTGACTCCCACCATCTTCACAGCACCTTCGTTTTTCTCCTCCATGCGCGGGGTTTCTGACTAAGACTTTGTTCAGACAAGACTCTGCTGCTTAAAAACAAGCCATACCTCTAGTCAAATCTCACTGCTTTACAGTGGAGGGGCTGGAGACGTGGAGACAACAGGACTGGCCTCAGGTCCCCAGGGCTGGAGGCCAGGACAGTGAAAGTGCCTACTCTGGGCCCATGCCTCTTTGGTTAACTCCCTGGCCTTTGGCACCGATGGCCTCGGTGGTGCAGATGTCCCTGGGAGTGGGGGCCATGCATTACTTCACACTGTGGTCAGGGCTGAGTCCTGGCAGTTCAACTGCCCCTGCCAAGCTTAAAATCCCAAAGCCACCCAGTGATCCTCCCCAGCTGCCTGTGAGCTGATGGGGGCACAGAGGGGCAGCACCTCATATAGGAATGCCCAGAAAACCTATGGTCATAGTAGGACTGGACAGTCCTCTCCACCTGTGGGTCTGCATTGTGCTTTCTGAGGAGAGGAGGATCCCCTGTGGTGTCATCAGGCCTTCATGCCTCCATTCAGAGGCCTTCCTGGGCCCTTCCATGTGTCGGGTGCTGTGCTTGGCACTGAGGGCAGTGAACAGGGAGTGATTTGTGTTACGGAATGGAAGCCCTGGCTGGGGCCCGGCCTATTGAGGAGACCTCCCTGAGGAAATGAGCGATAACCAGTGTGGGCCAGGATGATCCTTACCGTGACCCAGAGGCCAGAGACCTGTGGCACACAGAAGGAACGAAAGCCTGTAGGCAGCAGGCAGAGTGGGAGCCCAGTGGGGTGGTGAGCCTGGCCAGTCAGTGGCCAGTGGTTAGCAGCACTAAGCCCTGTGTGCTTCTTTTTCAGAGTGCAGCTCCTTCTCTCCACCCACCACGGTGATTCTCCTTATCCTGCTGTGCTTTGAGGGCCTGCTCTTCCTCATTTTCACATCAGTGATGTTTGGGACCCAGGTGCACTCCATCTGCACAGATGAGACGGTAAGAGGCAGCTCTGCCAACCATTTCCCCACCTGGGGATGGGGAGGACCCAGGATCAGTGTTGCTGGGAAAGCTGCTCACAGGTCAGACCGGAGCCCAGTGGGCAGGCCCCTGGTGTGCAGGGCATAATTCCTTTGTTTGCAGTTACACTTGGGTCGTCTTCATGCACACACAAGTTCTCCAGCCTTGGGGCAGCCACAGCAGATCACACCAGGAGTGGGGCACAGCAGCCATGGCTGAAAGGCTGCCTTTACCACATTTCCTTCCATCCCCGTGCAGGTCTTCACACTGCACTCCATTAGACACTCCACTAGGCACAGGGGGCGCCCTCCCCATCTGGGGCCACAGGCTTAAAATAGAGTGGTTGACAGGGTACCCTAACCCAGCTAGGACAGGCTGGTCAGCTTGCTGGCCATGCCTGGGTCCTGAGGGCAGAGTCAGGAGGCAGGTCTGTCTTGAGCCCCCAAGGCAGCAGACTTTTACCTGGCCTCTGGTTCATCTCTGTCCAGCCCAGCCCTTGGCCTCGTCCACTGCCTTCTCACCCCCACTGCCACCTCCCATCTGCCCACAGCACCTTCACTGGGAGCTTTGAGGCTGCTGAGTATTCCAGACTGTGGCCTATTCCCTTGGTGTCCCTGCTGCCGTCTCCTGACCTTCCTAAGGTGTCTGGAAACCTCAAGGTGGTCAATCCCTGGTTGGGGTGTAGGCATGTCTCTGGGGATTTACATAGGAAGAAGGGGCAGCACTTAGCTCTGGGTGCGGGGAGCAAGCAGAGCCGTGAGTTCGAGAGCCATCCCTATGCCACTCCTCGCGTCCTGCGGCCCCTCAGGGTCAGCTGTCACCAGTGTTCTAGGGCTCTGGGTAAAGGTTTGGGCCTGTGGGTGGTCAGCATTAGGAGCAGGCTCAAAGGAAGACAACATCCTCCCGCGCTGCTGGCCACCTTCCCCTGTGGGCTTAGAGGAGTATGTGCAGGGAAAAGAAGGGACATTGCTGCCCACTGCCAGAGCAGCATTGTTTGGGTCTTTCGGCAACTTTTAGAAGGTTGTGCGGCTTTTGGCAACTTTTTTTCTAAGAAATGATGTCATTCCAAAAGTTTTCTGTGAAACTAGTAGCCAGTGGTGTAGATCCAGCCATGGATCCAGCCAGTAACTGTGACCAACCTCTCTGCTTAAGATCTGCAGGGAACCCAGATGGATTCTTTCAGGACCTGCCTGCCTTTGGGATACTGCCAGGCCACGGTCTCTGGGAGCCAGAAGGCAAGGCAAGCTTCCTTTTTTTTTTTTTTTTTTTTTGAGACGGAGTGTCACTCTTGCCCAGGCTGGAGTGTAGTTGTGTAGTCTCGGCTCACTGCAACCTCCACCTCCCGAGTTCAAGCAATTCTCTTGCCTCAGCCTCCCAAGTAGCTGGGATTATAGGCACGTGCCACCATGCCTGGCTAATTTTTTGTTGTTGTTGTATTTTTTTCGTAGAGATGGGGTTTTACCATGTTGGTCAGGCTGGTCTCAAACTCCTGACCTCAGATGATTCACCCACCTCAGCCTCCCAAATCACTGGGATTGCAGGCGTGAGCTGCTGCACCCGGCCACTCAGAAGGCAAGCTTTCACGGCCCCGGTCCTAGTTGTTCTTCCCTGTGCAGTCCATTCCTAAAGGGAATTGTGTTGGAAGGAAAGGAGAAAGCACCAAAGGGCCCTGCCCCTCCTAGGAAAGGGTGTCTTCCCTTTGCCTTATGTCCTTCCCAGGTCCCTAGGCTGTGAAGAAAGACTCAGACTCGCCTGTCCCCCCAGCACCCCTTCACCGGAGACCACAGCAGACAGACCCCTGGCCAGGCTCCTGCCAGGCTGCTCCTCTCCTGTCCCTCCAGGCAGGGGCCCCATTCTCAAGCCCTGCCCTTTGACCAGCTCCATCTGAAGAAGGGAGGGGGGAGGAAGCAGCTCTTCCCGCAGCCCCAGTTTATTCCTGAGACTTAGCAGGGGAAGCGGTGGTAGCTCCGTGACACCTGCTGTGTAGGTCTCTACCATGTTTCTGCCCAAAAGACCCATTAGGAGGAGCTTTGCCATGCCAGGCTGACTGGCCTGGCCATGCCACCCTCTAACCTATACTAATCCCTCCTCCTTCCTTCTCTGTGGTGACTTCTTCCCTCATTCATGGTCTGTCACTCCTATTCAACCTTCTCAGTTTGCGTCTCACCAACCCCACTAAGCGGGGTGCTGCTTGATCTGATCCCCCCGGCTGGTGAGACACACAGTGCCAGAGCAGTCATTTGATTTGTTACTTTTGTTTTTTGTCTGCAAAGTGGCCGTGGTAGCTTCAAACTTCCTAGGAATCTCTCCCAAATTAACGGCCATCATTGGTTATGACAATTACGAGCTCCCCGACAATTACGAGCTCCCCAACAACACTGAGGCCTTTCATGCCAAAGCCTTCACAGCAGTCCATCCACAGCCCAGCACAGAGCTTTTGAAGAGCGCTTCTGTGGAGCTCAGCAAGGGGCCAGGGCTTAGCAACACGCTCCAGCCCGGCCAGCGGCGTCTGCCCCACTGATAGTGCTCCTTTTTCCCTCCCTTCTTGGAAGGACTTGTGAATGAGTGCCCACCAGAAAAAGAGCATTTTTTTTAGTAACACTTTTTATGAGAAAGATTTATTATGTAGATAGCTTCATTGCTTTAAAGAGGAAGCATTTACTCCATTCACCTCACACTGTGGATATCCCTCCCCAAAAACCACAGCAATGCAGTGCTTGACTGAAAGTGTGATTGTTCTTGTTTTCAGGGAATAGAACAATTGAAAAAGGAAGAGAGAAGATGGGCTAAAAAAACAAAATGGATGAACATGAAAGCCGTTTTTGGCCACCCATTCTCTCTAGGCTGGGCCAGCCCCTTTGCCACGCCAGACCAAGGGAAGGCAGACCCGTACCAGTATGTGGTCTGAAGGACCCCGACCAGCATGGCCACTCAGACACAAGCCCATACCACAGCACTACCGTCCCATCCGTTCTCATGAATGTTTAAATCGAAAAAGCAAAACAACTAGACTTTAAACATTTTTTATGTCTCAAGTAGAATGGCTGAGCATTTTAGAGAAAAAAAAGTCCCCATATTTTATTTTTTAAAAATCATCCTTTTGATTTTTTTTTTTTGGTGACTGAAGCTGCTGTCTTTTCCTTTTAAAATCACTTCTCTGGCCTCTGGTTTCTCTCTACTGTCTGTCTGGCATGACTAATGTAGAGGGTGCTGTCTCCAGGCTGTGCCCACTTCTACTAACTGAGTGAGATGGGACGCTTCACGTGGATGGAATAGTCAGGACACCTGGTGGGGGATGCGTGGGAAAGCCAGGAGGGCCCTGACCTCCCACTGCCCAGGAGGCAGTGGCGGGCCCCCCCATGGGACTTAAAACCTCACTGAAGATGGATGCTTCCTCCTTGAGGCCTGAGAAGGGCAGGATCAAGGTTGGAGGCTTCAGAGGGACCTTGGCACAGCGACCTCATCCCCCAGGTGGACACGGTTTGCTTCCTAATTTGCAAAGCAGTTGCCTGCCTTGTACTTTATGGAGTTGGGGTGTGTAGAATGATCTTGCAGGGGAGTGGGGAGAGAGATGAAAGAGATCTTATTTGTATTCTGAATCAGCAATTATATCCCTGTGATTATTTGGAAGAGTGTGAAGGAAAGATGTTTTATCCAGTTCAAAATGCCTTATACAATCAAGAGGGAAAAAAATTACACGGTTTCAGGCAAGCTACGTTTTCCTTTGTTACATCTGCTTCCCCTCTTACCACCCCAACCCCCTCTCTTCCCCAGCAAGATGTCAATTAAGCAGTGTTAATTCTGACTGCAGTAGGCACCGGTGCCCAACACATACAGCCCCACCATCACCCCCTTCTTCTGGTTTTAATAGTCCTCACAGAGGATTCACTTTCTGATATTTAACCCCCATAAATGTGCACGTACCTGTATTTTCTCTGTATTTTAACCTGGGAGACTGTTGTCCTGGCATGGAGATGATCATGATGCTGGGAATTCACCTCACAGTCTCTACCCTATCAAAGTCAACATATGGCCATCCCATTGGCTGCAGTCCACAGATACACCTAAGTCTGTGGCACTGGGACAGAATAGATTTTGCATTTGAGAGGCACTTACTGTGTGAGTCTTGTTTGAAGAAGGTGGTGATGGTGGGGAGAGGTGAGGGAGATAGGAAGTGCCCTCCAAGTACAAAAATAACAAATATGATTATTGACCATCTGGGAATTTGCACACATTGTTTTTTAAGCAATTGCCACAAACCGCCTTTTTTAGCTTTTGCTTGGGGTGGGGGTAGGAGATAAGGTTTATTCAGTCCTGTCCTGGGTAGGGTAAAAGTTAATCTAGCCATTTGATTTTTCAGAAAAGTAAGTGGAACATGCTGCCTCTTTTCAATTCTGTCAGTGCTTCCACATGGAAACAAAATGCAATAAAATTTTTCCAAAACCTCTTCTGATTTAGCGCTCCTCTCTTGAGGCGTTACCCTTCCGGGAGGCTGACTATCCCCAGCATGTACTACCAGTCTAGAGTTTTCTCTGGTTGGGTTTTTGTTTCTTTGCTGCTTCTCTTGAATGAGGATTTTGTTTGTTCGTTTGTTTTAAGGGACCAAAAGGTCTGTCTCTTGAACCAACTTGGCCGACCAGGCCTGTCTCCTTTGCCTTCTGCAGCCTGAATTGATTCCTTTGTGTTTTGGGGCTCTCCTAAGAGCTTTTCTGGGTCAGTTAACTTTGACTCGCCTGTACGGTGCTATTCTTGCAATACAGGCAAAGCTGAGATGCTAAGATTTAAAAAAAAGAATGCTGTTTTAGATTGACTTGATAGCATTTGTTCTCCATATGCTTTTAATCACGTTTTTCTTAATATACTATTCACTTAGGTGTATGAAAGAAGTGTGATTGTATTAAATGACTAGAGAGGGGCAGCAGCTCTGGCCCTCCCCTAGAGGAGAGAGATTGATCATTATTCCATCTTCAAGGGCGTTTTTTAAAGTGAGCCAGGTTAGTTCTTTTCCCCTGGCATTTCTAAAGGAATGCAGTAGATAGTGCTGAAGATGCATTGAATTTTTTTGAGTCTTAAAAATAGAAACTCATCCTTTAAACTTGGTGCATACTATGTTTATCTTTCCCATAGAGTGGAGTTCCTTGGGTTTGTATAGGCCTTGGCTAGAAAAACTCAATGTCCCTGAGCCCTCACCAGCTGCATTCAGAAGATAGGAATACCCCCAAGATTCCTGGCATTTTTCCTCTTTCATTTTCCTGAGAGCACAATGACTGAGGAATGTGGCCATCATTGGCAGCATAATGATTGGTTCCCAGCCTGGCTTCCACACAGGAAGAAAAGGCATCCCTGAGCTCTCCTCAGTATTTCCAGATGTAATGAAAGAGGACATCTTTATACACAAAGTCGGCCCCAACTTTTGGCTTAGTCACAGGAGTTCTGATAGTACTGTTGGGTGCACACATGGAAAAATGAACCAGTGGTAGTCACAGGCTTTCAGAACCTGGGTTCTGGGGAGTGGAAGTGAAAAATAAAGATGTGGCATGTTGGATTAGATGATCCCCAGCTTGCTTTCCTTCTGTCAACTTCAGGTTTGTGTTCACAGCAACCAGACTGAATATGCAAAAGGCTTAGATCCAAGCAAATCTATAATCTATGCATATTTGCATGGGCTTGGTAATATGTACACAAAATACATTTGGGTAGAAGTGCATGAGCTAAATCTTTTAGTCCTGCCATTTTGTCTTCTTCATACTGTACTTCCTCTTTTTTGTTTGAGACAGGGTCTTGCTCTGTCACCCAGGCTGGAGTGCAGAATTAGAACTCACTGCAGCCTTGAACTCCTGAATTCAAGTGATTATTGTGCCTTGGCCTCCTGAGTATCCACGGCTACAGGCATGTACTACCATGCCTGGCTAATTTTGTTGTCTTTTCATAGACTGGAGGTCTCACTGTGTTGCCCCAGCCAGTCTCAAATGCCTGGCCTCAAGCAATCATCTTGCCTTAGCCTCCCAAAGTCGTGGGATTACAGGCGTGAGCCACTGGGCCCAGCCCTGTACTTCCTTCTTGAGAGAGCCCAAAGTATTCGCTTTTGCTCATCTGGCTAGGCCACTTAAATAGTTAGAATCCACCATCCCCTAATGCAGAAACCTTTCAGGTGAGATAAATTAATAAACATTTTAAACACATATATGAGGTTGGCATTACACAGAAACTCCTCTCCGGGGATCTAGGCTGGGCATTCTCAGCCAGCCTAATGCATTTTAAATTTCTCTCTCTCAAGACTTGCAGTCCATCAGCTTAAAGGGTGAGCCAGCCAGTAGAGGGAAGGGGCCCCAGCTAGAAGATACCCTTAAATGTCGAAGAAATGCGAAGAGAGAAAGATTTTGCTAGAACCCTCCTCAAGGGTGTTCTTGAGGTTACCAGACCAGTAACATCAGCATCCCCTGCGAACTTATTGGAAGTGCACATTCTCGGTCGCCACCCCAGGCTTCTGAGCAGAAACAGTGGGGCCCAGCAGTCCGTATTTTAACAGCCCTTCAGGTGATTCTGACAAACTCTCAAGTTTGAGAATCCACTTGGGGCTTGCAGGGGGTCGCTCTTCAGGTCGTCCCTGATGCTTGCTGGTGATAAGGGTCCTGTGTGCTGCTAGGCGCAGCGTAGTGCAGTCAAAGTGCTGATTGTGAAGACAGGCGTGTGTTCCCACTGCTGAGAAGCCACTGAGACCTCCCTTGAACCTGTGGCCTCCCCAGCAAACAACTGCCAAGATATCAAAGAAAGTCTGTATGAAGTGGATCCAAATTATTAGCCTGCCCACCACTCCTTCTACATCTCATCAGTTGAACCCATCTCTAGACCAAGGGCCCTTTGGGTGAAGAACCATTCCAGAAGGGAAAGAGAAAAGAACAGAACCCAGAGACCTCCAGATGGGAGCAGCAGCCGGTGAGTAGTCTAGAGCCAGGGGCATTGTAGCAGCCTGGATACATGACCTGTACATGTCCTGACTTTTGCTTTCCATGTGTGGGCTTCAACACCCATGTGGCTTTTTCTTATATTCTTTAAATACATATCTAACTTAGGATCACCTCACAGAAGAGAAAGAATTCACAGTGAAACAGAAACAAGCCACTGACCAGCGTACTCCCAAACTGAAACCTTCCTTTTCCCACCCTCTCCCTCAAGAAAGCATCTGCTAACTTGAGCAGCGTGATTGCCATAGCAAAGCAGAGTGGCCCCCTGGGAACCCGCTCTGTTGTGGCACATGCGCACACAGGAACCGGTGAAGCTGATCCAAGAGTGATGACAAGCACTGCAGAGGGATGTTTGCCAGAAGCCTTCTGGGGGACACACATGCTCTAACACGGACATAGAATGCCCTGGATTTCTGCAGTTGAGGCTGTAGAGTCTGGTGACCAAGTATTTGAGTCCTGGCTTCAGTCTTTTGTTCAAACCTCTGCTTGGCTACGTACTACCATACCTTACTACCAAAATACGACCTTGAGCATTAACTTCTTTAAGACTCAGTTTTCTCATCTGTAAAACGGGAACGATAATCTAAATCACAAAGTTAATGGAAGAATTAAATGAGGGTGATGAATGGGAATGTATAGTGTCTGGCCCTGGTATGGCTGTATAAATGTTAGCTGTGTTAGAGCTGCGCTTTTCAAACCATTGGTCATAACCATTCATGGTTTGCAACCAGCATTTTTTTCAAGAAAAAATTTTAATGCATTACATATTGCAGGGTAAGTATTGTTTTATGAAGCTTAGGGGCTGTGTATATATGTGTTCTGGAATGCAACAGAAAAATATTTCCTCTTGTGGGTTACAATATAGAAGTATGAAATCTCTGATGAGGAGAGACAGCGTTATCTGGCCAGCTGTGAAGAGACGCATTTGCCTAGGCTGCTGCCTGGGGCTCTGGCTTTCTACATGACAGTGCAGGGAGCAGCCTGTTCTCCCTCTCTGGGGCTCAGCTGAGTCTGCACAGACTCTTCTTGCTCAGGAGCCTTCGTCCTAATACATTCATTTTGGGGAGTTGGTGAGTTTGTTCACAGATCACAGCTCATGTGTCACCCAGGCTGACCTGGGCCAAAAGGCCCCGTCATATACTCTGCCAGAGCTGCTGGTGTCAACTACAACCCCCTGACCAGAAATCAACCATTTTTGTTTGTTCTCTTGAGCCTGAAGCTAGCGTTACTGCTCCTCTACAAACCTCAAGCTTAAGAACTTTGCCTGCAGGATCCCTTGAAACCATGCAAAACTCAAAATTGTGTCCTACTGGGAAAAAGCAGCCCTCAGGCCATTTATTACATCAGATTTGTTTGCAGTGTTTTCTTTCTGGACTCACAAGTAGTCGGTACTCCCTGAACATTTGTCCACTTGACTGCTGAAGACCTCTGGTAGACAGGCCAGGCTCTGCCTGGAATACTTTTATGAGCTTGGTGAGGAGGTTGGGTATAATCCAAGAGTGCCTTTCGGGAGCATGCCACATGAATGGCAAATAATCATCCTGTGGGCTCTTGGCTTCATTTCCCTTCTCTCTGACTGAGCTCAGCCTGGGCACAGTGGGGATTTGCACAGTGGGGAAACATGTTGGGCAGAAAAAAGACACTAGTTCTGCTCCCAGTTCTGCTGCATAACAAGCCAGAAGAGACTTGGCCATTCTCATGGCCTCTTGGAACTTATATTTCTTCCCTATCTGCCAAGCATCAATACTCAGACCCATCTCACAAGGAGGCTATAAAAACCTATGGTCATGGCTTTGAGTCCAAGTCAGTGAGGATGCAGCCAATCTGTCATTTCTGGGTGTCTCCTCTGTAGCCCAGTCTGCCATATGGTAATGTCCCAGCTCTTGTGCTATCAAGTTAAAGCACCTTTCTCGACAGACTGCAGATGATCACCCAGGAAGGGAATGCAGAATACCCAAAGCAAACCATCTCAGTGGTCACTGCTTCTGTGCCAAGAAGGGAGGCCTGGCGAGGGGCCAGTCAGGGAGCAGCATGGCATCCTGTCTCATGCCCCACATGAAGGTCCCTCTAGACTGTGTCAATAAGATCCATTTTCTGAAACAGCTATTTTTGTTCTGATTATAAAAGTAACATTGGCTCATTGATGAAAACTTAGACTGTGTGAGAAGTCTACAGAAATAAATACAAATCATCTAGAATTCCATCACCAAAAGTAACCACACAGGCAAATGTTCCAATGTCATGTAAAATTGTATTAACACCGTCTTGTATAGCTGCATAGCATTCTGCTTTATAGAATCATCTGCTTAACCATCATTATTGGGCATTTCTCTTGTTTCCAACTTTGCATGATTATAATTCAGTGTTCAAGTTTATATTGCATAAATCTTTGCTCAGACTCTTATTTTCAAATTTTTTATTGTGAAATAACTTCAGACTTACAAAAATGTGACAAAAACAGTACAAGGAGTTCCCATGTACCCTTCAGTCAGTCTCACCAAAGGTAAACATTTTATACACCCATAATACAAATATAAAAACCTGGACGCTGGTGACACAATACCCTCAACTAAGGTATGGACCTTATTCACGTCTCTCCAGTTGTCCCATGAACATCCTCTTCTGTTCCAGGTTCCCATGCTGCGTCAATTGCAGTGTCCCCTTAGTCTCCTCCAGCTTGTGACAGTTCCTCAGTCTTCCTTTGTCTTTTATGACCTTGACCCTTTTTAAAAATTGAGATGAAATTTCTGTAACGTAGAATTAACCATTTTAAAGTGTACATTTAATGCATTCACAGTGTTTTGTAACCACCAGGTCCATCTAATTCCAAAATATTTTCATCAGTCTCTGACCCTTTTGAAGATTGTAGGGCAGGTGTTCTGTAGACTGTCCTTCCGATTGTGTGTTTGACGTTTTTCTCAGGATTAGATTGAGATCAGGCATTTGGGATGGGAGCACCACTGAAGCAATGTGTCCTCAATGCGTCGCATCAGGAGGCACATGGCTTCGTTACATTTCATTATTGTGATGTTAACTTTGATCATTGGTTGAAGGTACCACTTTTACCCAGTGTAGGAACTGTTTCTTCCTACTATTAAATAGGAATTGTTTCTTCCTACTATTAAGGTACTGTTTTTCCCTTTATAATTGATAAGTCTCTTATGAGGATATACTTTTGAGATCAGTTTTTTTTTAACTTAGAGTTTATTCAAAAGTCAAGAATTCTTAAATCTCTGAGATGGTGTGGGAAGAAAAAGTGCTGGAGAAGAATTGGCCTAGGGCACCATCAGATCTCAGACCGTGTGTGCGCCTCGGTTTTTCTTTCTGCATAACAAAGGGTTGTACCAGTTATGTAACGATCTTGTGTGGAAGAGAAAACCTAGAACCAGATACACAGAGATCTTTCTTGAGTCATGTGAATGAGCAGTGCCCAAGCCTGGCAAACCCACAGCAAATTCCCTTGGCTTCCAAAGGAGATGGAGAACGCAGTGGCCCCACTGGAGGGTCCAAAGCCTCTGTGCAAGGTGTTGTGGGCAGAGAGCTGGCCTGGCCATGTCTTTACCTCCTTTGGCCATCTCCCCCAC